TTTAGTGGAGTGAAGTTCTCACTTCGTATCTACTAAGATACACACACTGTACCGCTTGGGTTATGGTTTGGGAACCTATATAGATGTGTAACGTGGTTCTGTAACCCTGTCCTGCAGATTGGCAGGGACCAGATTTCTTGCTGCACATCTCATGCAATTTCTTAAGCGCTTCCTTTTCTTCTGCTTGAGAACATCTAGTGGTCCATCACTGAGGAACTCCTCTCTGGGGCTGTGAATGCTCCTCAGCCCTGTCAGCAGACCATCACCTCCCCTGGCACCACTCATTTAGATGCAATAACAGGACTCCAGGCTCAACTTTGTTCCATCAGAGGAACAAATGATGGAGAGGAGTAGAATTTTATTTAATCTGACCCAGTTCAGTGTATTTTGGGGAATTCCTCCCTCTCCCCACAGCTCTCTGGCACTCCCCAGATGGGAATGAGCTTTGATCATTTGGCCTGTAATAGGGAACAGCTCCAAAGCAGGGCTGCGTGGGAATGGTGTGGGTGACATATAAGCTCAATATGGAGATTGGGACCATCTCGCTGTTCCTCCTGCTTCAATTTCTATTTATTGTTTCTCCCTTTTTTTCCCCTGGTGAGCTTCTCCAGCATCCATGCAGAGATTTGTTATTCAGCTTGAGTATCCTCTGGGCAAGGTGCAAGATGTCCTGTCACTTGGCTTTTCTAAGATAGGTTTCCAAGGTTTTGTCCAAGGAAGATGACTTTGAGACCTATGTTCTTTCATGAGGAAGAATGAGATGGTGTTTCCCCAAATGCAAAATCATGTTCATGGTGATGCAACCACAAGCAGGTTGCCCGGGTTGCCTTCAACAGGAGCTGCTGTAACCTCGATCCCTCAGGTCTGCAGTCATGAACTCTGGTGGTTTCATGTTGTTCAGTACCCTCAGAATGATGTTTTTGAGGAATGAAGTCACCGGCTGGGTTCGTTTTAACCTCACAATATGGGTAAGACTCCGTCCCCATGTGCTTAGCCTTGTACAAAAAGAGATTCCCCCGTTCTGTGTAATTAATTTACAGTGAATGTCTCTTTTCTGGTGTGCGTTTGAACTCTTTCTTCTTTGTTCATTGTAAAGGGCTTAACGGTTCCTGTTCCTTGATTCTTTCATTGGTGAAATGTTTTGGAAGAGAGGGTAGAGTCCCCTTCTGACCTGCCCTGGGTGGCCCAAGCCTGTAGACCTTGCAAAGACATTACTTTTTTGGCCTGAACACAAGTCTCTCAAACCTTTAGCCTGGCTAAATGCTTTGTACAAACAGGCGCATACTGATCTGCTCTATTCTCTTGTGATTTTCTGCTCAAGGGGCTGTACTGTAGGTGGCTTGCTGTGTTTGCTGCTTGCCTTGGTAGTGGAGACGGTGCAATAAACGAATCCGACAGTACTGAGGCCAACACTGTGCTTGGTCGTTCCAAGGAAACGATCCTGAAATCTGGTTGAAGAGATTAAAACCAAGAAGAACTGCCTGTGTCTTTCCTCTAAAGCTCCGTTCTCTTCTTTGTTTCTTTTTTCTTCTGTAAGACTTTGTTCATTCTTCCTTCCAAAGAAGTTTGTGGCATTGGTATGTAAACTGTGACCTGCGATTACAGAAGGTACGGCTGCTTTTACAACAACCATGGGGTGAAGCATTGCATTCATTCCTCCTCGGGCTCCTAACAGCCAAGGGCTGGAGCAGCTTTCTTCTGAGCCGTGTTCTTGATCTCATTTCATTTCTTCCGTAATACAAATAATATGATCTCACGCGTCATTTCACTTCTTGGAGGTCAAGTGCACTGTTAATGCAGTGGAGGTTCCAATCCATTCTTTTGATGGGAGTTAGGGTTCAAGCAAATGTTGGTTCAAGGCGCTACCGTTGTTGTAATGTGCGGTGTTAAAGGGCAGCATCACTCCATAACTCTCCCAGCCTTCCTCCCACATGGTTCCTCAGTAAGAGACAGCTAAAGGTGAGCTGCTAACGAGCAACCTTGTCTTGGGATGAAATCTGTCTTGGGTCGTTCACGAGCAGTTGACAGTGGTGATAAATTCAGGAGGCTTGTGAAAACATTCGAAACCCAGTCACCAGCATTTTCTCCTGAGGATGTGAAATTCATGCTTTTGGGAAGACCTTGAATTCCACAACTCCGTGTGTGCTTCTAAATAGATTCCTAGCAGCTGCGAAGCCCTTACTCCAAAATAGAAGTTTTCTTTCACTGCAGTCTTTTCAGGGTTTCTGTTTTCCAGTGTTCCTCCAAATATAAGCAGTAATATGACACGACCCCATCCTTAGAGCTTAGTTTGTTGGGTACCTCAACCCGGGGATGTCTGAGACACAGAGCTGCCCAGGGCAGTTTCACCTCTTGAGAGGATGCTCAGACACTGTTTCTCACATCTAAATGTTTTTAGCTTCTCAGGTATGTGCTTTTCCAGAGCTGGGGGCGTTTTAGGATTGATGTGGCTTTTGGGATAATTTTTCCAGATGAGACAGTGGGGTGTAGAGCAAATGTGTAAAGATGATTTATCCCTTTGCAGATCAGTGTCAGAAAGCTCATGTTAGTCCTCCCTTGCGCGTGTGCTGGCTCAGGCAAGCTGCAGTCAAATTTTATAGCAACCCTACATTAAAATGCCTTTACAGCTAGAATTAATTAAAGCAGTTTTTGAGGGTTAAATATAACCTCACTTTGGACTATTTGCAGCCTGAATATTGCAGCGTTGGGCAGTGGAAGTGGCTGGAAGCTGAGCAGCTCCTACCTTTGTCCACTCCCTGTGCAGAAGAGGCAAAGTCTATAAGCACAACCATGGATGGTTCCTTCTGGGTTTGATTCGTGCTTTTCCAAGTCCAAAACATTTCTAATCTAAATCTAAAATCCAAACGTGAACAATCAAGTACATAGTTTCTCTTTCTTATTTTTTATTACATGTTTCTATTAATAATATTGGCCGAAAGAAATGATTTTACAGCCCTATTTGCTATTGTCCTGCAGCAGTTATCACTTGACTGATCACTGCAAAGATGAGCGATGGTTTCAATCTTAGAGCTCTCCTGGCACCTGGAAATATTAAAAAGCAAAGCCATGGATGTCTGGAAACTGGCTTCTGTGCCCCTGGAGGTACCGGTGTCTGTATTGAAGGATGTTCTCCATCCCGAGATTTTAATGGAAGGTGGAACAAGAAACCTGATAAATAACCCTTCTTTGGTTTCCACAAATAAGGCAGTTGAGGAACAGGGCTGAATTCCTGTGTCTAATTCATTAGTCTATTCTCGTTAGAGCCATAGGGGCTGCTCACAGGACTGGGCTGCTCTAGGAGGCCTTTAAGAATGGGATTGCAGTGATGTGTTTTCCTTGGTTTGTGGCATCTGCTTGAAAATGAGATGACTTTTGGAAAGAGACGCATTGAAGGAGAAGACCAGCTAGCATGATGTGACCGTGCTTAGCATTTAAGGACAGCACAGATCCTTTAGTACCTCTGTGTAGTCATGGAGACAGAAGGCAAAATCTACCTTCCTTACTGCTTAGGCCTCAGCTTTGTGGAGCTGCAAGAGCTGGTTTGAGGGCTCCTGTATGGTAAAAAACAGAACAGTTCGGCATTAATGTGCTATATTTAAGTTAAAAACCCTGTACCTTGGTGTATTTTTTCCCTCTTTCCTTCTTTTTTTGCCCTTAAACATGGTTGAATCTCAAGACAATATTTTGTTTCAGCGTGCACCAATCTTCAGTGTTTGCAGGAGCAATAAAACTCAGAAGGCATAAGCTCCCTTTTGAGAATATGAAGATGAATGTGTTGAATGTTTCATAGTGTTGAATTGTGGCTTCACAAATTAGGTCCCTCCGGTTGCATGGAGAGCAGGGATAAAGCCACTACTTCTGTAACTAAAGAGGGTGAAAATTAGGCAACGTTGGGCAAACCAACCCCAGGAGCATCATCAAAAGAGACACTTGAATATGTGCAGTCATTGGCTTCATGAGTGCTACCAAGTAAAAGCTATTAAATGGCGTGAAGAGCTGAGGTTCTCTAATGTAGAATCATGCAAGATTCATTCTTTAATTTGAAGAAGTTCCTTACTGTGAAGGTGGTGAGGCACTGGAACAGCTGTGGCTGCCCCATCCCTGTCAGTGTTCAAGGCCACGTTGGATGGGGCTTGGAGCAAGCTGCTCCAGTGGAAGGTGTCCCTGCCCAGTGCTGGGGGTTGGAACTGGAGGAGCTTTAAGGTCCCTTCCAACCCAAACCATTCTGTGATTCTAAGTCCCCCTCAGTGGTTTTAGACTTGGTTTAAATAATGGCTTAGAAGAGAAACAAACGTCTTTACTATGAAACTTTGGCCAGATTACACTGGAAGGAGGGAAATGTGGCCTTGGAAATATTCTCTTGGCTTTGGAAACCAATGGTATTCAGTTGTCAGATGTCTTCATCCAACAGAAATAAATATGCAGCAGAACGGCCGCGATTCTTCCTATCTGGGGTGACCGTGCTGGGGCAAGAAGCACACCCCAGCAGATAATGCACAGATCGGCTGCCGAGTAATTAATGACAGGGCTGGGCATATTTTTTTGATGAATGCTTATGGGGCCTGGTGACAGGCGTGAAATTAGAAAATTCCTTCAGCGCCCTAAAATATAAATAGCTTTCGGAACTGAAAAGAGTTTCACAGCTGAAGATTTTATTGTGTGGAGAGGAAAAACTTTTCCACCCCCATCCCCCCTTTTCTTCTCGGCGAGTTGTTTGTCCGTTCACAAAACAAATACTCTGAAGCCCAGTACGGCTCATGGGAATAAATTTCAGGTCGAATTAGTACAGTTTCCTTGCTGTCAGGACGGTGGAATTAATGGTGTTTTGATGACACGAATTTTGAAGGGCGAACAAAGACGCTGAAGGGAGGGAGACATGACTCCTTAGAAGCGCGGTCCTCCTCTCCCCCAGCCTCTCTTGTCTTCCCTGTCATCCGTCTGCCAATCTCCCTGTCCATGGTTAGTTAAAGGCGCTTTTTATCCTCTTTTCTTTCCCACAGAGTTTGCCAGATCCGGCCCAGTGCCTGGGTTCCAAGGGGACACACTGCAGTTGGCCTTCATCGACTTGAGACAAGTAAGTCTTTGTGTTTTTGTTTTTTGTTTTTCTTTTAAGATGTGTGACTGAAGACCATCAGGTCTTAAGGAAAAGGAGAGGAGGGGAAACGGCGTCAGTGATTTACGCCAGAGACCTATATTTCCCCCCTCCTCCTCCTCCTGCCTACACTCGAAGCCACCTCCTTATTGAGCTCTCCTGGAGATGATGGAGGTGAAAAGGGCTGGTGGTACGGGGGTGAGAAAGACTGACCCTGGCCGATGGGATCCATTGTGCTCCCGGTGGCTTCTGCCGACGCAGCTAAAAGATAACTGGGCGACTCTCGCAGCTGACGCCAAGCAGGTGGTGCTGACAGAGAGAGCAGTGATGCAGAGACCGCCCGCCTCGAGGACCTTTGTTCACAGATAATGCCCACAGAGGCGTTTTGCGAGGGCGAAGGAATTTGCATTTGGGCTTGTGTGGGGAGGCTGTGCCTGTGTGTGCATCCGTTGGTGTCCGTCTTTGGCTCGGCAACGTCCCCCCCTTCCCCGGTCCCCTCTTCCGCAGATGGTCCCCAGCCATGAATGACAAAGTGGCTGTTGGGGAAGATGATTGGGGAAGGCTTCACCCATCGGTGCCCACCTCTTGAGGGGGCCCCGTTAGAGCCAAGTTGACCATAGCAGGTACAGAGGCATTTGTGGGGCTTGGCAAGCCAATTTAGGGAAAAGGGCCATTCTAGTGAAAGTCATTTGTTTGGGGTAGAAATGGGCATTATTGATACATTAGGCTGGGGGGGAAAGTGAGGTGGTCCTGTCATCTCTTGGCACTGAAGATGGATGGGTTGGATAGAAAGTCTGAATGAAGTAAGACTCAATGACTGATGCTTCTCTCCTATTAAAACAATCTTTTTTTGTCTGTTAAACCCCCCTGGCTTTGTCCCTCCTGCCATCATGATGCAGTGCCTCTTGTTTCCAGGGTTGACGTAGTTTGCATTCTGAAAACTTTCGGGTGCCGAGGGTATTTCTTCCATCTGCATAATCTCTTGTATCGATGATCTCCTTACCACTGGGACTCTGATTCATGCTGGAGCTGCTTTTAACCCGTAAGGGTTTGAGAACTTCTCTGAATCCAATTGATGTGCAGGGAGCAATCTGTCATCCCATGACACTTCTGCAGAGCAGCAATAAGTTTAATAGCATCGAGATGCCACAAGTTTGCTTTTAGGACTAGGACCTGCCAGCAACTGCCAAATTAGTTTGCAAAATGGTCAAAATAGCTACATGGGAAAGGTGTGTGTTACCACTGCTCTGCGTTGACACTTTTATCTTCATTAGCTTCTTGGCACTTTATTGACCGCAGTGTGCAACGCGCTTGCAACCTTCTGGGTAGAAGGAAATGTGGAGGCTTTGGTCCTTGTCCAAGCAGGAAAACATGAATACAGGGATTTTGAAGAGGAAAGCTGTGGCTGTTTGAAGAATGAAATGCCTTAAAAATACTCGGGGAGGTTCAGCTGCTCTGAGCCAGTGCATTAGCAGTGAAATGTTTGTATGGTTTATAAGGGCAAAATGCAGCCAGATGAATTCAGCTTGGGTGAGGAGAAAGCTTAACGGTAGCCCTCAGTTCTTCCTCTTCTTCTGATGGTCTTCTTTGTCCATGGCATTTTCTTCTGGGAAGGTAGTCCTGGCTTTTTTCCTTGCATTTAAAAATAATATTGCGAGGAGAAAGGGGAGATGCTCTGGCCTGTTGGGTTTCAGGTGAGGACAGAGCGTCTTAGATCTTCTGGATAACAGGGATGCTTGTTGATGCCAAGTATTGTACAGATAATTGACAGCACCTCATTGCTTCGTGTAGAGAAGAACCCACCTATCACTGGCTTATTGAGCTTACAATAATGTGCAAAGATGAGATAGTTCCCACCTCACTTGCTCCTGTTGCTAACCTAATCCCATGATATGTAACATGTCACCAGACTCCATCTGCGTGAAGCTGTTCCACTGCTTCCACCACTGTGGTGCTTCTTGTAGGATGGCAGCTCCATCTGCAAGGCCTCGGAGCAGGGGATGGCTGGAAGGGTGGATGGATGAAGGTCTTTAATTTAGTTCTCCAACTTGTTTTTAATTTGTTCTTTCTGGACATTGCGTTCTTTCTCTTTTAAGCTGCTAAATGTTAACACAATATTGACTTAAAGCTGAGAGTAGGGAAAAAGGTGCCACCCTGAAGTGTTTGTGTTCCTGGCTGGTTTCTTTCTCTTTGGGAGGGACTGTGAGCATAGATCATGCAGGGGTGTTTCCAACCTGAAATCCAGACACTCTCCAAATGTTAAAAGTAATTTCAGGTTTATATTTCAGGTAGGTTTATACTTACCTTGGAGCTGCTCTGTCAACTAGTGTGGCTTTGCGCAGCTTGGTTATGTAGGGAAGAAAAATGACTGCGCAAGAAATGCACCAAGTAAGGAGATGAAAGAGATTTCCCCCTCCCTTCCCAGTGTATTTCAGTGCGAGCTGTTACAGAGCAATTGCAGATGGGAGACAGTTTTCAAAGTGATGTGGGATAATTAAGGGCATGACCAAAATTAATTCTTAGTACAATAAAATAGGAAATGGTAGAAAACCGTAGTGATTGGTTTGTGCCTTGGATACAGATCCTTGTGCTAGAAAATAAGCCCTATAAAAATGTTGTTGTCAGGAGCATCAGAGTTCCTCCTTGTTCAGTGCAGCAGATTAAAGGGTAAAATCCCTCTCTGCGTTGGAAGCCTGATTTTTCACCTTGTGCTCAGGGAAACTGGAGCAATTCCATCACTGTGTGGTAAAGAGGAAAAGAGCTATAGAATCCTAGAATGGTTTGAGCTGGGAGGGACCTTAAAGCTCATCCAGTGCCAACCCCTGACATAGGCAGGGATACCTTCCACTGGAGCAGCTTGCTCCAAGCCCCTGTGTCCAACCTGGCCTTGAACACTGCCAGGGATGGGGCAGCCACAGCTTCTCTGGGCACCCTGTGCCAGCGCCTCAGCACCCTCCCAGGGAAGAGCTTCTGCCTAAGAGCTCACCTCAGTCTCCCCTCGGGCAGGTTCAAGCCATTCCCCCTTGTCCTATCACTACATGCACATGAGTCAAGCCCAGGGAATCAAAATTGCTATTCTGAGCAGACAGTGATTTTAAAAGAGGTCTTTTCTTCTCATCCTGGGACAATTCTAACTCCATAAATACCTTTAATGAAGTGATAAAGTCAGCCAAGTCGCATCTCAAATCCTTCTGTAAGAGCCCTTTTATAACAAGGGTCTGAAAGCAATACTCAAATATATAAGGCTTTACGAGGAAGCAACAGTTATTTTTTCCCCTTAAAGTTTAAACTTTGCTGTTACACCCTGTGCTGTATGTTAGAAATCTGAAATAGATTTAGTTCCATAAATAACCTTGCTAAAATATGAAAGGTGCCTAAATAATACAGTCTTCTGCATCTTTCTTTCCAAAGTGACTTAGGCACTTCTGTCCAAACACTGTTGAATGTCCAAATACCACTGAAGATCTCCAGGAGATTTCAAATCAACCCCAACGTTGCGCATGCAATAAGTCCCCTGTTCTCTCCGCAGCTTCTGGCCAGCTGGAAATGTTTTAGCTTTTCATTTTCATGGGTTTATTATACGAAAGTGAGCTGGAGAGGAAGGTTTTATGTTTGTCTGTGAAGTCGCTGCACTCCACAGCCATGCTGATCTCTCCTCAAAGCCAGATCGACACTCGTGGCCGCCCGCCAAGGAAAATCTGTCTCCAGCACTCGAAGAATTCCACTCTGGGCTCTAGCAAGGGAAGGCGCTCGATGGATTTGAGCTCCTCACTTTAGGCCTCTCCATCTGTCCAGTGATGTATAAACACTGTGTGTTGAATTCCCTCTGCAAGTGCTAAGTAGAGGGAGATGCAGGGAAAGGCAGGAGGGTCTTGTTGGAGACATGTGGATGTGCATGGAATGGGGACAGGGAGGTTCCACTCTTCTGCCCCATCATTCTTCTGCTTTACGTTATGGTTGTGACTTGACAGTGGTTATGAATTTGAGCATCGGCTCTTCAAACCCCGTCAGTGAGGTTAAGACAGGCAAGTGCTGTCATTAGTTGTGGAACAGCTCTTCTGCCTACTGCTTGTCCAATAGCAAACACTTTGTGTGTCTTTTTGCTGTGTTCAAAACCCAGTTGTGGTTATTGTGGGTTTGTGTTGGATGCTGGCCATCTGCGGAATGAGAAGGTCTTCCTCTGATGCATTAATTTTTTCCTATTACCTCCGATAGAGATGCTTAATAAAACAGTGTTCCCCTCAGGAACGCAGTTCCCTTAAATCCCTGCCCTGTTCTTCCCTTCATATGGGAAGAATCCTATCTCTTCTGCGTTGTTTGCATCATTACTGGAGGGTGTTTTTTAATTCACTTAGAAGATGAAATACAAAGTTAGGCAGGAACTTTTAGCCATGTGGAACGTGCAGTTGTTCTATCTTTGTGTCCATCTTAATTTCCCTCAATGACTTCTGAACCTTCTGGCCATGTTTGGTTGGTGGGCGTCAAAGGTGTAGCAGCCCTACATGTTTTTCTGCACACATGAGCCAAGATAAAGAAGCTGCAGCGTGAACTCATCCTTTAGATTCAACCTTGAGAGAGATGCATGGGGACATCTGGATTTCTTGGTTCTGTGCTTGGTTTTAAGGAGCTACCTGCTCAGGGAGCAGCATCTTACGAGGTTATGTTGATGGATACAGTAATGCTGGCAGTTGTGGATATCCAGCTTAGCTTCTTATCATAACATCACATGATAAATAAGGTTTTTGAATCTCCCTCTGATTTGATTGTTGGCTGCTTTAAAGGTGCTTGGTGGCTTGGACTTGTGCGAGGTGAGAGGTGTAACCCTGTCTCATTGCTACCATGCAGTCCAGTGCTTCCATACCCAGCCCCAGGCGTGGTGGCCAAGGGGAATCCTTGCAAAAGTGGGCTGAAGAGCCAAGGCCTCATGGGTCTGTGCCTTGATGTGACACTGCAAAGCTCTGGCCACCCCTCTACTCTGTTAC